ATGTCTTTAAAAAAGCAATTTGGGGGCGCCTGGGTGGTTTAGTCGGTTAAGCATCCAACTTTCGCTTAGGTCATGATCTTGCGGTTCGTGGGTTCAAGCCCCGCGTCGGGCTCTGTGCTGACTGCCAGCTCAGAGCCTGGAGCCTGTTTCAGTCCGTGACTCTCTCTCTCTCTGACCCTCCCCTGCTCATGCTGTTTCTCTCTCTCTCCTAGAAATAAATAAAAAATATTTAAAAAATTAAAAAAAGTAAATAAAAATAAAAAAGCAATTTGGCCAGGGCCATCTTTGTGTCTTTTGTGAGAACATTTTTTTCTAGGCTCTGTCTCTGAAGCAGGGAGAGTAGGAGGGGCCAGGCCAGGAATTTCTCCTAGGTTCGTAGGAGCCGGGGAGCAAGGCACTGCCCTCAGGCACTGTGATTGAAGCGTTAGACCTTCCAACTCCTCCTCAGAGCTTTATATTTGTCCATCTGGTTCTAAGGAAGGCTGTGGAAGTGGCACCAGGAAAGGGGAAAATGAAAATGGAACACCCACCACTAAAGAGCAGAATTGGAGCCTTTCCTGCCTTAGTTTTTCCCTCAGCCCGGGAATTGGCAAAACTGGCTGTGCTGTAGAATGTTAACCGGCCAGACAACTCTCCCCTCCTGGGGCCCTGCAGGAACCCCCACCCACCCACCCCAGGGCAACTGCAAGGAGGCAGGGGGGGGGCAGGTACAGCTGTCTCATCCCCTCCCATGCCCCACCTGCCCTGGTTCTCACTCCCTGGCTCTGACTCCCCACCTGACCAAGGGACAACTAGTGTTGACCCGGCAAGTCCTCAGGAGATGTCTGCTGAATCCATCGTTAGACAGGATCCTGCTTTGCAGGACGTCATTGTCTGGGCCCCAGCCCCCCACCGCTCAGGCGCGCTTCCAGATCAGGACACTTCTCATTCCCTGGCTCCCCTCCTCCCAGGGGACACACAGGCGTCAGGGAGGGCCCACATGTGGGTCTGCTCGCAGCCAGGGTCCCTGAAGGTGCTCCCTCTGGATTCAGGTGCCCTTGTAGTCTGGGCCTTGCATTCACCAGCTAGGTGACCTTGGCACTGACCTACCATTTCTAAGGGCTCAAATTTCTCCATCTGTAAAGTGGGGATGATGATCCTCATAGCTGCTCACCTGGGTGTTGAGAAGCCGAAAAGAGACAATGCATGGAAGAGCCAGCACAAGGCTAGTAATGTGAGATAAAGTGTCTTATCTTCCAGCTCAGGAAACCTAGTACCAGCAGTTGGTTGAAACTTTTCAGTGGAAGAAGGACGAATACAGAAGTTCAGGACATGCTGACCTGATTCATCGAGCTGTTTAATTTATGTTTCATGAAATTCAGGCTCTTCTCCTAGCTCTGCTTCCGAGACAGAAACAGATGTTTAGTGCCAAAATGGATTCTGACACAATCCAATCCAACCCTTCTTTGTACAGATGGGAAAACTGAGGCCACTGGATGGGAAATGACTTGGCCAAAGCCACTCAAAGAATCAAGGCAGAGCTAGGACGGAAACCCAGATTTCTTGTTTCCCAGAAAAATGCTGTCTTCCTGTGCTATCCCAGCTGTCTGCAATTTTGAGTGTAGGTGAAATCCTTTAACTCAAAGTGTTAGGAAGGCACATGGCTCTTGTGTTTTTATTCCTTCTCTTTTCCCCAGTGGAAGGTCATGGCTGCATCATACCATGGGTCAGAATCTCTCTCTTTTTTTTTCCCTTTGGCTTCGAATCTAGAAAACAGCCTTAAGAGGGGAGAGGCTCTTCCAGCCTCTAAGCCTCAGGACTGGAGGTTTGTGTGGTAGACGTTCTCCCCCTAGTGGAATGAACAAAGATGACAGGCCAGACGTGAAGAAAAGAGAGTCTCCCCGTCCAGGGCCTGGTTGCCAGGCGTCTGATGCTGAAGCCTCCCTCACCTCACCCTAATCACAGCACCGTCATATCCCAGCTTTACTTAAAATTCTGATATTTTGTTCATTGTAGAGTTTTTTTTTTATAAATCTTGATTTATTAAAATATTACCTTAAAATACTATTTGTATTTGTTACTGAGGTTTTTGGCACCCCGTTAAATTTTGGGTCTGAGGTGAGTGTCTCATTTGCCCCCGGCCCCTAGCCATGGTCCTAATCCGGAAATCAGCCCTGGAAGACCCAGCAGACACATGACACGCAACCACCCTCACTTGTCAGAAGACCCGTGAGGTCCAGCTAGGGCCAAGGCCGGCTCGTTAGGGCAGCGTGGGCCTGCTGCTCTTTGCACCATGATAATCGGAGCTGCAGATCATCCAGCCTTTCTCCAAAAGGAGATGGTGACAAAGACTCTCTGTTGGCCCAAACACCACTCACACTATTTGGAGACTTCTTCTTCACTATGCCTGTCAACCTTAGCCTATGAAGACTTGAAGAAACATTAACAGAGTTTCTAATAGCTCAGGGTCAGGTCCCCAGGATGACCCTAAGCCCCCCTGAAAGTGGCTGACTGAGAAAACTGTAGGCAGCCAACAGAGTGTACTTTGGTCCAGCCAACACCCCTGTGTCCCAGTCTCTGTGAGAAGGTAGGCACCCAACTTCAATAAACGCCTCTTAGCAAACCCGGGTGGGTGTCACATGGACCAGCCCCCTTCTTCTATTTTGTAGTTTTTCACTTCCTTGACTCCACAGAGCCCCTCATCCCTATTCCCTCCATCCCCCTTTAAAGCACTTAGTTGCCTCTGTACAAATCCAAGTTGGGTTCAGTTCACGTTGGACGCTTTTCTCTATTGTGAGGTTATATTACTGATTAAAATCTGTCTTTACCACTTTAACTCACGTCAGCTTTCTTTATCTTTGACAATGGCTGCCTTTCAAAGTGCGTCTCTTATGAGAAAAGAATCTGGGTTCGAGGGCAATTTTATTGCATTCAGATGCACTGGGTTCTGGGTCTTTGTCAATGCCTATAAACATAACGGCCTAAAGACAGGCCCTGTGTATCTCAGTGTGCCTGGGAAGGCACCTACTTGGAACACCTTCCTCACTTGGGCCTCCATCCTGCTTCGTCTGCCTAAGGATTTCAGGTGGCTCGCCACCTCAGAAGTGGGTGGGATAAACCAGCCCTCATCCTCACCATCAGCAGGCTGCCAGCGACGCTCTGAACTGTGTCACCTGTGTCTGTCCCACACGCCACAATCCTGGTGCTTCTGTTGCACCACCTCCAGCCCCGGACCACATCTAAGCAAGGTCTCCACCTCTCTCTGCCCCATTCCTCACAAAGAATGCTAAGGTTCCCCCACATCATCTCCACGGCCCTCCCTGGGGGCTTCCCTGGCAGGGTGCCAGAGGGACATGTGTTAGGTCAGGCCCAGAAGGGGCGACCACAGGGCTTTGGGATGCTGCCCGTCTTACTCAGGCTGGATTTACTACTTAGTCTATACAGGGTTAAGTCAACTGCCTTCAAGTGACTAAATCCCTGGAGGAAGGAAGAGGAAGTGGCTAAAGATGCTCCTAAAAAGTTTTTTTATATATAGGAAAAGAAAAAAGAACTTATTATAGACAAAGATATCTTCCACCTTCCTTCCTACAGGGGTGATGGGCAGGACCGCAATCCACACACTAATCCACTTGGACCCCAAATCTCTTCCCGAGTTTCTTAAACCCACTCCAGTCTCCTACTTTTTGTGACCCAGAGAGAATGGAGTTATTTTAAGTAAAGCTCATTTTTTATGGAGGGGCCATCATTTCCAGGACCACCCCAGGCAGCCCTGCTGGGCCCACCTTTCCAGCTAGAGGTCACTCAGGGCAACCTGCCAGCTCCATCAGAAAGTTCTCTTCAGCAATTGACCTGTGGGGCTCTCTCAGCACCAGCCACTTCATACTATGGCTTCTTTTGTCCTTCAGATCCCTGTGCTTCGGAAACCGCTGAGGTGGAGGCAAGATTCATTTATACGCTACTCCTTCTTCTCAGGCACCCTTGCCTATCTCGGTGTATCTGCCTGATTGAGAAGTGAGCCTACAGGTGATTTGTAACCAACAGTAAAGTGCTTAAGTGTGAGACTGGCTTACTCATGCATTAAGCAGATTCACGGTTATCCCCATATTAATGTCAGCTCACTCTTGCATTTCTGTGAGATTTCCTGAGCAGAGTGAACTCTTTGCCACGGCCTGTGAGATAATGTATCATATCCAGACACGCACCTCATGCCTCCTGTCTCCTTTCTCACTTTACTCATCCCTCTGACCTTCAGTCAGTCCCTCAGATATTTTCAGCTCTTTCCTAATACAAGTTCTTTGCACCCACAACTCTTTCTTCCAGGAGGCCCCTTCCCCCAGACTTTTGCCTTGCTCTGTCTTCTGCTTCTGGACTCAGCTTAAAAATAACTTCTTCCTGGGGTACCTGGGTGGCTCAGTCAGTTGAGCATCTGACTCTTGGTTTTGGCTCAGATCATGATCTCACGGTTTGTGAGATTAAGCCCTGCATTGGGCCCCGCACCACCAGGGTGGAGACTGCTTGAGATTCTCTCTCTCTTCCTCTCTCTCTCAAACTAAATAAATAAACTTAAAAAAAAAATAACTTCTTCCTGGTGCTGACTGGGAGGGCACTTAAGAGAGCCTTGGGGGTGGGGGAGGGGTAAATATTCTGTTTGTGATCTACACGGGAGTCACAAGCTGTGTGCATGTGTAAAAACTCATTGAGCTGTCCACTTAAGATTTATAGACTTTATGTAAGTAAACCTAAAAAAGGAAAATCTAAAAAAAGTTTCAACTTCTTCCTTGTCTCATTATTATAGTAGTAGTAGCTCCTATTACTCTTGAACATGGGATTGTGCCTCCATCCTGGAACAATAATTATATTCTTTGATTGTTTATTTGTAAATTGTACCTCCTCCTAGAATGCAAGCCCTGCAAGGACAGAGCCTCTGTCTTTCCTGTTCACGGAGGCATCTTCCAGAGCATAGCATAGTGCCTGTCACACAGTGGACACTAAAAAATTTAGTGAATGGAGAGGTGGAAGGATGAATAAAAAAGCTTGGATTTAATGATGGAGGAAAAAATGGGCAGAGGAGGAATGTCCGAGGCTGGAAGTTCCCACTCCCACCCAGCAGAGAGTTGAGGGGTCTTATTCCGGAAGTCCAGGATCTCGTTACCTCCCTGGAGACCCAACACCTTCCTATCTACACCTCATTGGGGTTGTCCTGGTCGGCATAGATGAGGAAGCCTGTGAAGAGGCTATCGGTCCAGTAAGGGTCATAGAAAAGCCCGTTCTGCTCTGAGTAGAAGATCTGCAGCCAGACCTCATCACCTTGCTTCAGAGCCAGGATGGTGGAGCCCGAGGCCACATCATGGTTGCCTGTGTTGGCATCGAAGGTCCGGATGCGGTACTGGCCGTTGTGCACCAGGCCGATGGCCAGGTGCTTGTTGGCCAGGGTGATATCGTAGGTGAAGTAGTAGATCCCCGGCACGCCACAGACGAACTTGCCACTGGATGCATTGTAGTGGCCACCCTCGTTCATCAGGATCTTGTCAAACTTGATGGGCAGCCTCTCCCGTGGGTAGCTCTTGGTCACTGCCACCGAGAAGGCAGACTTGGCGTGGCCACTGCCGCAGCTGCAGGGGCCTGGGAGGCCCGGCTCCCCCTTCCTGCCCTTGGGCCCCTTCTTTCCTGGTGTGCCGTGCTTCCCCGGAGCACCACTGACCCCCTTGGGGCCGCGAGGACCGGCCCGCCCAATGGCCCCGGCTTTGCCCTTTGGTCCTGGCTTTCCCCGGTTACCTGTCCGGCCAGGTGGACCTGGAAGACAGAGCAGCTGGTGTTATGGAGGGGCCTTCACAGAGCTAGGCAGAGGCTGTGGGCCTTGGCTTTCCATCCTTGGAGCAGGAGCCTTTGGGTAATGGAAAGAGCAAGAAGGCTTTGGAGTTACATAGAAACGGGTGCAAATCCTGCTGGTATTACCTGGGGCTCTTCTCCCAGTCTTATCTGGAAAATGGGAATGGTGGTACTCACCCTCCAGAACCACTATGGACAAGGCAAAAAAGAATAACTTATAACAGCTCACCCCTTTCCTTCTCCCTGCCTTCTAGGGAAATGTCTGGTTTGTCTGCCAGACCAGTCCTTCAGTGGGCTGCACTGGTAATGGGTTGACAAAAGAATTGGAAGAAGCCTCTTGACTTCAACATATTGATCTTAGTAAGAGCCCTGCCCAGTACCCAAGGTCCCTGTATGTGCAAGAGTTTAAGTGCAGCATTGCTTACAATAGCAAAACTAGGGACAACTAAATGCCTATCCAAAGAGAAATGATTCATGGGGCACCTGGGTGGCTCAGTTGGTTGAGCATCTGACTTCGGCTCAGGTCATGATCTCACAGTTTGTGAGTTCAAGGCCCACATCAGGTTCTATGCTGTCAGCATGGAGCTTACTGTGGATCCTCTGTTCCACCCCCCCCCATCTCTGCCCTTCACCTGCTTGTGCATGCTCTCTCTCTCTCCCCAAAATAAATAAACATTAAAAAGAAATGGTCCCAAAATTATGGTCTACCCATACTGTGCAATTCTATACAGGAATTTTAAAAAATGAGGCAGATTTATGTGTATTGTATGAAAACTTCTCTAAAGTACCCTCTTAAGAGGAAAAAGTAGGTGGCAAGATCTTTTTTGTTGAAAGGAAACCACAAGACGAACTAGTTCTACAACTATTTAAGTGCATAAGAGAGTGGCTGGCCCATAGTAAACTCTCACTGAATATAGTTGGCATATCCTGCAGAACATTTCCCAAGTAACGTTTCCCTCTAGAATGCTCCTTGGTGTTTTATACCCAGATTTTATAACATGTTCATTTCTCTCAATACCCTATTTTTGGCCAATGATTATACAGGAAACACGTCTATTTATGTCCCCTAAATTCAATACAACATTTTAAACAAAACAAATGTGGGTAAAGATTTGAGTCACATCCAAATACAATTGTATAATAGGTACAATTAGTAAACTGGCAGAATTGGGTGTAGATGTTTGAAAAGCTTGCTGAATGTCAGTTGAGGGCCTGCTTCTGAAGGTTGCTCGTGCCAGAAGGCAACCTAGTATTATTGTAAGCAAATGACTCTTTGCTAGACACCAAATGAACTGGGTAATCAGAAAGTAATGCTGTAGGCATTTTCCATTCTAACAAGGTTCTTTGCTTCTTGTAGGTATATATGTAGGTATTTTACTACGTCTTAAAGTTTTGAATTAACATGTAATGCATTTAAATTTTTCCTATTTTAAGTAATTGGGAAATAGATTCTCAAATAGCATTTTCTCACTAAAATTTCTCATCTAATTTTTAGGAGCAGATTGCTTATGTTAAGTGCCTGGCAATGCCTGGTAATACTATACATATATATAAATTATGTAGAAAAAGGCCAAGAAGGATATACCTCTAACCAATTAATAGTAGTTACCTCTGGAAAGCGAGGAGAGAATGAAAAGGGTAGGAATTAAGGAGGTCTCTTGCTTTATTTGTATTGTTTGAATATATTACAATAAGAATGTATTTGTGTGTTATTTGTAATTAAAAAATTTTTAATGGTAAAAAAGTTAAAGTAAGATCACAAAGCTGTCCCATGAAAAAATAAAAATAAGCAAAAGTTACTGCTTTAATAGTGGGAGAAACGTAAGGAGGAATAAAGACTGATTCATTTTGGATTGGAGATTTGGGGGGAAACAAATAGATAAGAAAGCTTATCAGGAAGTTCTGCAGTGTGTTATGTGGTGTGCCTCCTTCTTGGTACCTTTTTGAGAAACTTCATGAAAAGCTGGTTTTACTTTTCAAGACCTTTGTGGAGATGGATTTGTATGTGTATGTCAGAGGGAGGTGGTTGGATAATACCCTGTACTGGTCCCAGAACGACCCAGCTTTACAGGTCAGGACTCTCCATCTCTTAACACTGTCTTCCTTGGTGTGTTGCCTTAATTCTCAGCAGAGACTCTCTGCATGAGCAGGTGAGATGGCCAAGCCTATATCCTCATGGGTGTGTTGCCTTAATTCTCAGCAGAGACTCTCTGCAAGGGCAGGTGAGATGGCCAAGCCTATATCCTCATGGGTGTGTTGCCTTAATTCTCAGCAGAGACTCTCTGCGTGGGCAGGAGAGATGACCAAGTCTATATCCTCATGGCTCGTGATCAAGGAGAAAAAGTCAATAGTAGAGATACCCTCTCACTAGGACCTGTAAGATGAATGTCAGGGAAAAATCTATCTGGCCCTGCTTGGAGTATTAGCCCAGACTGAAGCTACCACTGGGGTCAAGGAGTGGGATACCATGACATCCCGTGCCTGACACACTGTGACACCTCCTCAAGTCAAAGCCATTACCATTACTTACATAGCTATTCTTTGGGAAAGGAGGTGCTTTGGAGGAATTGATTTGGTGTGGTAGGAGAAGGTCTGGATTTGGAGGCAGCTACCGGCCTGTTACATGAGCTCAGCACATCAGTTAAAGAGAGACGACCGTTTATTCTATATCTACTCTGAGGCTGATGCTTCACACGTCATATTTTATCGTCATTACAACCCTGTGAGCTAGGCACTGTTATCATCTCTATTTTGGAGAGGAAGCAACTGAAGAATGAAGAGAGGTTAACTAATTCACCAAAACAGGTCCCCAAGTTTGTTTCCAGAGTTCAGGTCTTGCAGCCATGACATGCTGTTCTCAACTTAATCACCCTTGACTCTCAGTTTCCTCATCTGTTAACACGATATAAGAATACCTCCTTCATAGCATGGTATGGATGGTCAATGGAGCAACACACTCAAAAGTGCTTTGTCAATGTTAAAATGCCATGCAAATAAAAGTTACTTTGATTCCTCTTCTGCTTAAAACGTGTACTTAGGGATGTTGCTGATATTAAGGGTTCTGAGACAAAGAATGTCAAGGCTGGTCCTTGGATACCTGTACGATTTAGGAGGATTAGTCATGCTGAGATTCGCTCTGTGGATCAAGCCATGAAGAGGTAGACTTGAGCCCATTGGTAACCATTTCAAAATTTCCAGCCTTTGTGAAACTAAAACTAAAACACACAGAGAAGCAGAGCCTTGACAATAACTTTGAGTTCCTGGACCCAGACATTGCTGAAGCCTGGCTCTTAAACTTCACGGTTCCATGAGCCAATAAATTCCATTTGGGGCTATATATTGAGTTTCTATTACTTGCAACCAAAGGTGTTCTGAATCATATATCAGGAGACTCCCTTAAAGCAAATCAGCAAATCAATGGTGCAGCTGGGGAAGGAACACAAGATCTGATACCCACTGTCCTTTCAGGAGAATACACTGTTCTGTTTTTTAAAAAAGACATTAATTTGATTTATAATGAAATGGGATTCATACTGGGTTTCATAACTAAACTCCTTCTGTGCCAGAGGATGTTGAGCCTGGGCAGGAATAGGAGAGACAGGCACTGGGCCTCTTACCTTCCTCTCCGCTGTCCCCCCGGTCCCCGTCCTGGCCATCCTGGCCATCTTTTCCAGGAAAGCCCATTCTTCCCACCATTCCTGAGGGCCCTGGGGCTCCCGGGGGGCCAGGTGGGCCTTGGGGGCCAGGCAAGCTGCAGACAAGTTGAGGGGAGCCTTTTTGGAAGTCCCTGCGAGCGAAGGCACCAAGCAGCGGGTCAGCTGCACAAGGGAGAGCACAGAACAAGAGTACCCAAGGGATCATGGTGGTCACCTGTGGGAGGCAAAAGAGCTGTGAGTTGATTGGTGGTCAGTCAGAAGGGCAACCAGAAGGAGACAGCCGGAAGAGACTCTCTTCTCCATCACACACAAGTGGCTGCACAGTGTCCTCATGTCTTGGGGACATATTTGGATGCACTCAGTCATGGACCCAGAATATACTTTGGAGAGGTCTTGAGGGTGAGGCACTCATCATCACACTGCTGTCCTTCAGCGGAGCTGAAATAGAGGCAGGACCTAACGGCCCAGTAGTGCCAATTGGGAGGAGTGGTGGATGGAGAGAAACAAGCTAGGAATTCATTAAAATCCATGGCTCAAGTAGAAAGGGACAGAGCAGAAATAGTTTGAATTGTAGGTAATGTTTTGCAACTATGTTGCTTCTCCGGGGGTACTCGGGGTAGCACATCTCCAAGTGAGCACTGAGTCTCTGGTTCTGAGTCAAGGTGCCCTAGACCTAAGCAGCACCAGTGGGCCACAGTAGCAGCCTCTCTGCCCAGTGCTTCCTGTGCACCAGGCAAGGGCTAAGAGCTTTCGGTACATTACTCACCTCATAGCATCCTTGCCAGATAGGTACAGGTGAGGAAGTTGAGGCCCAGAGACATTAACAACAAGCCTAACTCCTGCAATCAGCAGGTGACATGGCTGGGGTTTGAACCAGACTGGGCAGATCCAGAGCTTGTGTCCTTTAGCAGCAGGCTATAATGCATCCTTTTTGTTTTTTAAGTTAAAAGAATTCATTGGAGGGGCACCTGGGTAGCTTAGTTGGTTAAATTTCCAACTTCAGCTCAGGTCATGATCTGAAAAAGGTTTTTTTATTTAAAGGTTTTTAAAAATTTTTTTTAAATTTTTATTTATTTTGAGAGAGAGAGAGAGAGAGAGAGAGAGCATGAGCAGGGGAGGGGCAGTGAGAAAGAAGGAGAGAGAGAGAATCCAAGCAGGCTCTGCATTGCCAGCCTGTGGGGCTCAAACTCACCAACCTGAGCCAAGATCAGAAGTCGGTCACTTAACTGACTGAGCCACCCAGGCCCCTCCCCCAAAAGTTTTTAATTAAGTAGGCAGCACACCCAACATGGAGGCTTGAACTCATAACCCTGAGATCAAGAGTTGCATGCTCTATTGACTGAGCCAGCCAGGCACCCCTTATTTATCAATTTTAGACATTATCTTCTGAATTTCATTTATGACAGATGAGGAATGTGTCCCCCTTCCATCACCCTAGCCCCTATTTCTTCTCCTTCATGTGGTTAAAATATAATTTTTGATAAAATAAAAATTTACTCTCTGGATTATTATGAGTATTGTTTATTGCTAAGCTAAGCACTGTCCTACAATTTGATTTCTTTTCTCGTACACTCTTTTCTTCCTGGACATATTAACTTTATTTTTTCACTTGCTTACTTCCCTATGCCACTATTTTCCACACTATCAGATATATCAGATCATTCGTTCCATTTATTTTCCTAAAGATACAAGTCCTGGAGCCCCCGTCCTCGTGTTCTGATCCTCACGCATGCTAACTAGCTGGCATTCTAGACTCTCCTTTATGATCATTGTGGTGATTGTCTTTGCCTCTCTCCTGGGTTGTAGCTCTTGTTTCATGAATCCTATGTCTTTCTCTCTTTGTTTAATTAAAAACAATTTTTTAAAAATCCCTCAGTCTGGTGGCACCTATCCTGTAAGAGCTTCCTGGAAAAGTGGTATGGGAAGTCATTTTTAAGGAATTGCAGGTATCCATATAGTTTGATTTTATATTGTGTCCTCAAGGCTGGTGACAGCGATAGCATGATCACCAGAGGCCAGAGTGTTATATGCTCGGAGGTGATGCACTCCCGGCCCCACACTGTGAAGATGCAGATGCTGAGGTCCAGAGCAGGACGTAGCAACTTGACCAAGATCTCTCAATAAATTGGCTCAGTCACTTTGCAATCAACAGCCTCTCTCTCAAGAAGGAACTTTCCAGGCATGATTTCTTGCCATGAGGATGAGCCCCAAAGTGTAGCCTGCTTTGTCACCTTAGGCAAGATCTTTTCCCTCTCTGGGTCTCAGTTTCCCACCTGAGCAATAAGGGGTTTGAACCAGGTCAGTGGTTCCACACTTCCGCGTAGTGGTCAGACTCACCTGGTGGGCTTGTTCAAACCTGGCTTGCTGGGCCTCGTCCCCAGGGGTCGAGGATTATGATTCAGTAGGTCTGGGCTGGGGCTAGGGGATTTGCATTACAAGTAAGCTGCTGCTGGTAGTTCAGGGGTCCACTCTGAGAATCACTAGACTAGATGGTCTCTCAGGTCCCTGCAACTCTGATGCTGAGCCTTTCAGACTTCAACCTGCCCTCTTGCAGATATGTAACCCTTCCTGGCTCCCCTGTGGCCGCACTGCTTTCGGCTACTTAACCAGAGCCTTCAAGCAATAGGTGCTGTGGTGCTGGCAGCCCCTCCCCCCTCATCCTGGGCCCTCAACCTCCTTTTCCTTCCAAACCTGCTTTGCCCTGGTCCTAGGAGCCTGTCCAGACATCAGCGGATAGAAGAGGAGAGAAAACCAGGCCTCTTCTGCCAGGGAGAGGAAAGGAGACCACAGCACTGTACTGCCCCAGACGCAGGGGCCTGTTCTAGTTGTGGCTCCAAGGCTTACCTTGTTATGGACCTCAGGTGGTTTCTCTACATAAGTGTCAGAATGGTGCTCTGGCCAGGCAGAGTTGACTTAGTACTAGAGGCTGTTTTCAATAACACTCTATCATATAATAATAAAATTATTATCTTTTCAATTTCCTTAATCCTGATTAAGTCAAGAAAATTATCTCAATCTGGTGAGAGTGTAACTTTAATGCCTCCCTAGCCCTTTCTAGTAGCCCTTTTTAACCAAGAGCACTGTCATCTGTAGCAGTGCACACCCATTCTTAAAGACTCTCAGGCAGGAACCCCCAAGTAGGACAGAGACCTTGGAAAGCCCCAGACAGGAGCATGGCACCAGGGGTCCTGGGGAAAAGCGTCTGCTGGGATGGAGGGAGGGCTTGTGGCCACATAGAGAAGGAGACCTGGACTGGGGCACAGGTGAGCTCTGGGCAACTCATCCTCCAGGGAGGGGGAAAAGCAAGACTTAGAGGGTGAATGTAAGAGAGTGTTACAATCGAGACTCCCACCTGGGCACTAGGACTCCTGAGAGGCTGCGTGCTAAATGGGCTGGTCAGGCTAAAGCGAAGAATCGACAAAGGAACAGTGTCAGAGCCCACTCCAGGACTCCTGGCTCTCTGGGTGGACTGAGGATTTTAAAATATGAGCTATGTCCCTGGGAGGGGGAGGGAGAGTGGCCATGCCTCTGAGGCCTGTGTGAGGAAGCTGGAAGGTGAGAGACTGGCTGGGCAAAAGGGGAAAGACAGCGTGGGATGGGGGCCGATTGCCTTCTCGCCTCCCCAAGAGATGGAAGACATTCCCCAGTGGGAGCCAGCCTGGGCCAGAGGGGTCTGGAGAGAAAGTGAGGGGCCCCAGCAGCAATAACCATGCAGGGCAGACACCAGAAAGCCAGAGGCCAAAGGCGAGGCCCGGGGATTGCCAGCAAAAGGAGAATGTGTGTGGCCCCCTTCAGGGCTGTTTACGGTCAGGGTCCAATATGGCAACCCCAAGGAGCCAGCAAAAGGTGTCCCTGAAAGAGGCAGATTCAATGTCTGCCCAGCCCAGAGAGGCAGAGCAGTTCAGTCCCTGTCGCTGCCAAGAAACATGGAAGAGCCTTCCTGCTTCTTGTCTCCTTACCTCTCCTTTCAGCCTGGAAAGGGGTGAGCTAAGAAAGGGAGCAGATGGCCCTGCCAGCTTCACGTCTTTGCTGAGGGATAAGAGACAGTGTCGCCTTTAATTGAAGATCGAAGATTGGATTATGTGGGAGTAGATTGCCAGGGCGAGGGGGGTCCCTCCCTGGCTACATTACAAAGGGGCAGAGGAGACAAAAACCAAGTTACAGTTTGATGTGCCTCTGGTGTCACACGTACTCAGCATGGTTGGTCTAAACGACAGCAGAGGTGGTTCGCAGACCTGGTGAACATGGTGGAAGTGTCATATGCATGATGTACTTAAAAAAAATTTTTTTTAATGTTTATTTTTGAGAGAGAGAGACAGAGACAGAGCGTGATCAGAGGAGGAGCAGAGAGAAAGGAGACACAGAATCCAAAGCAGGCTTCAGGCTCTGAGTTGTCAGGTTTGAATTCACAATCCAGGAGATCATGACCTGAGCTGAAGTTGGACGCTTAACCGACTGAGCCACCCAGGTGCCCCCTGCATGATGTACTTTTAGAGAACCGTGCCCCTGACACTCCCAGGCCTCAGGCATCCCCATCTCCTTCCCTGGTCTGCTTGATGAGAGTCTTGGAAAACTGTCATTGTTACTTGTGAGCTGTGACACATCTGGGAGCCCACAAGAGAAACCCAATTCTCAAAGCAGGTTTGTAATGGTTTGGAAAAGTTGCAAACATTTTGGACCAGGGAGAGGGAGGAAGGAAGTGGGTGGGAGCGAGTCTCCCAGGCAGATGAGAGTCATGCAAACAGCTAGAGAAAGACAGGCAGGAAGGAGAAACAGCTAGATGAGAGAGGAAGGAGAAGAAGCATGTTTCAGTTTGCAGCCCCTTTCTCTCTTCTGATGATCACTCTCAGCCATACAGGCCCAGAAAGAGGGAGTAGGGTCCTCGGTCCGGCCTACCTCTGCCTCTTTGGACAACAGGGGCTCTCGCTCAATGACAGCTGGCCCAGAGCAGACCCCAGTGGCTGGGTGGAGGAGCAGGGCTCTGGAACAGGCAGGGAGGAAGGGATTTCACAGAGCTGGAGGCTGGTGGTTCCCGCAGTCTGAGCCAGGAACTGTTTTGGAAATAAAGGCGGAGAAACTAGATTCTGGAGGGAGAGGAGAGACTCTGCCTCCAGTGCACCTCCAAGAAAAACAAGGCTCTAAAAATTCCTGCTTCCAGCCAGTGCCTCTACCCTCCTGAGTCTGGCCCAGAAGCCTACTCTCCACAGTGTGGTGGTGAGCAAATCTGGGGGCTAGGTGCTTGAAGGGGAGTCAGGGCCCCCAAAGAATCCAGATAAATTACCTCTTCCAGGCTCTTTTAAATAAATTTAGATTGGCAAACCTGGGGAAGGTCCCAAGGGACCCCTTTAGTTACAGACAGGGAAACTAAGGCAGAGGTAAACTGACTTTATTAGACAACTACAATGTTCCAGGCACTGTTTGAGGCTCTTTACATGAATTATTTTATTTGGAGTTTATAATAAAGTCTATGAAGGTGATAAACTTATTGTCCTATTTTTCAGAGGAAGAAACAGAGGCTCTGAGAAGTGAAATGATTTACCCAAAGCCACACAATTGGAGAATGGAGACTACAGTCTGAGGGGTTCTGAAGACTACACTTAAGCTACTACACCTTGCTCCCTCCCCCTGGTATTTTTGTTATGTTTTATACAAGAGGAAACTGAAGCTCAGAGTGGCTAATTTCCTCACATTTACACAACTAGTTCATGGCAGAAGTTATATTTGAACTTGGGTTTGGCTGACCCTAATGCCCAAATGCTTTCCATTATGTCAGCATTTCTTAGATTTTCCTCCTAAATATTCTGAATCACAGAAGAGACCTTGAAGCATTTGCCAAAGCCACACACAGCAATAGGGAGATTTCTTTCATATCTTATATATTTGCACACGCCTGCAAACACACACGTACACACACACACACGTGGATGTATAATACATGACTTTGAAAACGTAGAAGTGATGTTTTTTCTCCCTCAGGATACGTGAGGAAATCGATGCTTAAGGAAAACCTCCTGTCCTTTGAGAGGCCCACACTTGGCTTACTCAAGGTGATGGGTGGGGGTGGGGGCCCTGGGCCCCGCCGTCAACAAGTCCCCTTGGTGTTTTAATAGGGTATTCCCAGGAGCTGAACCAAAAGACCAGCACAAGGCACAGCCCCAACTCACTCCTTGCTTCATCCCAGCAGGAGCCTCCTCCCTGGTCTCTTGCGTCCCCCCCAACACGTACTCACCATGTGAAGCCAGAAGGACTGTTCAAAACCATAACTCAGTCACATCACTTCCTGGAGGGTCTTACCCCAGTTGTTGCTGGCTGCAAATAGCAAACATTGGAAACCCTGACGTGGCCCACAAGGCCCTAAATGACCCGGCCCTTGCGGCCACCTCCCCAGCTCCAGCTCCCCCTGTCTCTTCTGCTCCCCCTTGCCTAGCCCCCCCACCTCCTTCAGGCCAAGCTCTGCATTCTGCCAGCCTGGGAACCCCACCCTCTTGGCTCCCTGGCTCTTTATTCATTTTGTTTCAGCTGAAATGTCACTTCCTCCAAGGCCTTCCCTGACATGCCCTCTCAGACAGCTCTCCCCCTGGACTCCAGCTCCTTGTCTGCTCTTACAACAATGCATGTGTATTCATTGTATTTGCTTGCTAATCTGCTTACTGTGCCTGTTTTGTCTCTCCGTAAGTAGAAACTCCCGTGGCAGGAACCCCAGATGGCCCTGCTATATCCCCAGGTCTTCCAACTTCCTTGCAAACAGAGGGTGTTCAGGATGTTGCCTGATTAATGAGTGAGATCCACACTCTACCCTCAAGAAAATCCACAGCGAGGAGAAAACAAGGCAATGGCCTAAATCTAAAAGGAATCCTTCGAAATAAATAAGTTTTCTCCCTTTCTCGATTTTTCCAACCCAAACCATATCTAATTCTAATCTCTCATTCCTCTTGACTTCCTACAGCACAGGGAGCCCCCACCCTCACTCTGGGGAGGGAGCTTTCAGAACATTTTACATATAGCAGGTATTCCATAAGTATCTGTTCAATGGATCAGAGAGAAAAAAAAAATATTGGTTCTTCCTTACCTTTTTAAAAGCTATCTTAGTTCCTAAATTCTCCTTTCTGGTGGGAGCTGAGTAAGAAGGACGCATGACAGTCTTCCTGCTGTAGAGAAAAAGATATATTAGTAGGTCAACCCCCCGTAATGAAATCAAGTGGTACTAAACGTGGATGGAGTTCTAACGTCTGGTTTTAATTTGCCCAGTCCCTGGGCTTCTTATCTCTCGGTTAAGTTGCCAATGATTCATAAGTACACATGTTCTAGGAAAACTAGGAGCTAAAGTAGGGGACCTCCTTCTCCTTTCTGCCCTTGACCCCCAGGACATTGGCCCCTGGTTCACTCCCAAGGACCCACAGCCCAGACTGTGCCACGAGAAGGACCAGAAGTGGGGACATCGGTGTGCTGCTGACCACACCTGAGTGGGACACTGGCCTGGGCCTTCAGTGAGGCTGCTCAATTCTGAGTCATCTTGCCTGGGAGACAGGAAGATATATATTACACTTAAATAAATCTGGCCTGTTGGTTTTCAAGTTTTGACACACTGACAGGTAGTGGTGTTATTTAACTCTGTGATTAAGAGCAATGGGAAACCAGGGGCACTTGGGTGGCTCAGTCTGTTAAGTTTCCAACTTCCACTAAGGGAATGATTTCATGGTTTGTAGGTTCCAGCCCTGCATTGGGCTCTCTGCTCTCAACGAAGAGCCTGCTTTGGATCGTTTCCTGCACACACAAGCACATAATCTCTCTCAGAAACAGACATTAAAAAAAAAGAGCCATGGTAAACTCACTTTCTTCAACTATCTTTTTTTTTCTTAAACTTTTTTAATGTTTTATTTATTTCTGAGAGAGAGACAGACAGCATGAGCAGAGGAGGGTCAGAGAGAGAGGGAGACACAGAATCTGAAGCAGCCTCCAGGCTCTGAGCTAGCTGTCAGCACAGAGCCTGATGTGGGGCTCAGACCTACGAACCATGAGATCATGACCTGAGCCGAAGTCGGATGCTTAACCGGCTGAGCCACCCAGGCACCCCTACTTTCTTCAACTATCTAATGGAAGTAATAATATATCTGACTCCTGGAGTTTTTATAGGAGCAATGAGGCACCATACTCAAAACTTCAAGCCCAGTGTGAGGCTCAGTAACTGCTCAGTAGTTGGAGAGAACTCTGCCCCCACCCTGACCTCCTCCCTGTGAACCCTGCCCCCACCCTGACCTCCTCCCTGTGAACCCTGCCCCAACCCTGACCTCCTCCCTGTGAACTCTGCCCCGACCCTGACCTCCTCCCTGTGAACTCTGCCCCGACCCTGACCTCCTCCCTGTGAACTCTGCCCCCCCTCTGACCTCCTCCCTGTGAACTCTGACTGGACCCTAACCTTTTCCCTGTGAACCCTGCCCCCACCCTGACCTCCTCCCTGTGAACTCTGCCCCAACCCTGACCTTTTCCCTGTGAAGCCCACAAACAGTTGCCTGCCTCATCCTTCAACTTTCAGATCTACTACTGTCTCTTCAGAGAGACCTGCCTGGTTGCTGGACTAAAGTATTTTTCCACTCTTGGTTTGCTTTTCCTTCGAAAGCACTTGGACCAAGTTGTGATTACATATGTATTGGTTTCCTGACCCACTAGCTGTGTCTTCTCCTTGGTGTGGAAGGATCAGGAAAGCGAGGCCCTGCCTGTCTTGCTCTTTATTATGTTACCAGAGTCCAGCACTGTGTCTGCCATGCACTTAGGAAGTGCTCAGCTCAGAGTTGTTTCACAGCCCTGGACAAAGCACTCCTAATCAAGGGCAACAGGTGTAAGGAGTCTAAACGTCTAAACCAAACTGACTCCATGACAGGCTTTAAGTTTCCCCTCTAAACTAGAAGGCCTGAGTTCCGGCTTTCCCGAAACTACCAGGTAGTTACACATTGCCCAAGGCAGGAGTAACCACCCTTGCAACACCCAATCCAGAAAGGCCAGCGACCACCCTCCACATTGTTAAGGGAGATAGAAACTATAGATAGGACCCTGTTACCTAATGTTAAAGTTAACCTGTTAGTCGCCGAACAAGATCCTAGGCTCGCTCTGTGACTGGTTGAATTTAAAGGTACTCTAAATGTTGTAATTGGATCCCGCCAAAAGTAACGAATACTCTAGACAATGTATATGGTTAAACCCTCTGTCAATGATGTTGAATAATTATGATTGGATCACTGTTCCCATGTCACAACTCCTGTAACTCCCCCGTCTCAAACCCCATAAAAACCCTACTCTGCCCTTGTTCGGGGCTCTCAGCACAGATCCATACGCTGGTGAAGTCTGGGAGTCTGAGCTTAAGCCCGTAATAAAGCCCTTTGCTTTTGCATATGTGACTCGGACTCCTTGGTGGTCTTGGGATTTTGGGGAGATCGTGATCTGGGCATAACACAGGATCACAACTTTCATTTGCTTTGTGCAGATGACAAAGCCACACTTGGTCAATGAAGGAAATGTAGAGAGATGACCGGTCTTGGATTGGAAGATGTGGGTCCCAGCCCTAGTTTTGTAACTTACTGGTTATGTGACTATGGGAAAGTCATTTCCTCGTATTTGAGGTTCCATTTCCTCACCTATTAAATGGAGGTAATAACACTCACCCCACCTACCTTACAGGGCTGTTCTGAGAATCAAACAAGATAGCGAATGTTGAAAGCAAACATGATACAAAAATTAGAGCCTAAAGTTGTAATTGGCACCTCCTGCCCCTGAACAACGAGCAGTCCCAACCTCCCACTAGGAGCCCTTGGAGTGTCTGGGTGAGTTATGGTGGGGGAGTGTACTTGACTCTGACCCGGCCAGGGATTCTCCCAGACTTTGGGGTTAAAGGGGAAGGGCTGGTGGCTGGAATGGGGGGGGGGCTTGCTTGCTGCTGAAGCTCCCTGAAAATTCCCTTTGATGGGAGTGAGAATTCTACAATGAAAAACACCCCGTGCCCTCCCTGAATTCCAGGAAGCAAATTGGAAACAGCCCTCTCCAACTTCTCTGAAAAGCAGACGGACCGCCTGGAGGAGAAGGGCTGGTGGCAGCTCCTCACACAGTACTCACAGAAAAGTCCCCTTTCCTGGGATTTGGAAACACTCCAGCAACCAGAGCCTAACACAGAAGATTAAAAGGTATGGGGTCCACTTGCCAAGAAGCCCCAGAAACTATTTTATCTGTTTTCTTCCTCCTCCACTCCCTGTTTCTGTCCCAGTGTAGAAAAAGAGGTCCGAGGACAAAGTGTGACTGACAAAGATAGACCTCTGCTATACACACCCAAACCCATACAAACCAACCAACGTGGCAGGTGATGTGATGTGGTGGGCAGGGGGCCCATCCCCTCCCCTGAGCCCCCGGGCTGCTTCACATTGGGCCTCAGCTGCCTGTGCAATGAGGGCACAAAGCCATCAAGCTTTGGAGCTGCCCACAGTTGTTTTCTGCCATGGAGACCAAGGACTGCAGTGAGCTAGAAGAATGCAGCTGATGTGCCAGATGTGAGGGGAGGGAAGGAGGTCTGAGGGTGTTTGGAGCCCTGTATCCAGCTTGTCTGGAGGGCCAGCCTCCAAGTGGCAGGCCGGAGTGCCGGGGAGCGTGTTTGAGCAGGGCTGTCCAGTAGGAATATGATGTGCAGCTACCGTTCAAAATGGGTCTCATTGTCATGTTAAAAAGGTAAAAAGCAATGAAATTTATTTTAATATTTTATATAGCCTAATAGATCTCAAGTATCATCTCAACATGTAATTAATGTAAAAATTATTAATGAGGCATTCACATTCATAAACTGGCACGAAGTCTCGGAGACCCAGTGTGTATTTTACGCTTGCAGCACATCTGAATGCAGATTGGCCACATTCCAAGCGCTCAGCTATCATGTGGTGTGCACCAGCTCTAAACACAGCCGCTTGCGTTGAAATCCCATGAACTAGCTGTGGCACCTGTTACAAATTACTTATTCTATGTTTCTCAGCCTCATCCTCTCCAAAATAGGGAAAATAATAAGGTAGGACAATAACCTACCTTAGAAGGTTGTTATGAGGATAGAATGTTCTTAGAACAAGGCTTGGCATTCAATAAGGGATACAAGAGCATTAGCTATTATTATTATTTCTTATCCTTCTGAAGATCAAACAAGATAATGGATATTGAAGATAAAGCATGATACAAAAATTAAGACCTTGTTTAAAACTGTAATTGTCACTAACTGCAGCTGAACTCATGAAAAACAGTCCTAATCTCTGAGTCCTGTGGCATTTCAGGCAGGGCCCCTGCCTTCTTCTATTTCTCCATTTTCATTTAAGGTGGCTTGTGCTGTGTTTCTGTCAGTTGCCACCCAAAGAGAGGAGGCTTGCCCTTTGCTCCTGCCCTGGCATTGCATCCTGAGGGAAGGAGGGGGCTGTCTGCCATGCCCCCATGTCACTGAGCTACGTGCTGTGTTCATGCTCCATAACACAAGTTATGAATCAATGGCATAGTGCTCAGCTCATCAAGTGATAGGAGGCCAAATGGGGTATCATGTGCTTGGTACCATGGCTTGGCACATGGATGTCCAATAAATGGTGTCACTTATTCTTATCACTTTTGAGACCAGACACTGAGGTTCCGGAGATGAAAAGATGTGGCAGTCACTCTCATATGGCACATGGTCTGGTTATACTGAGGGCCCAGCCTGGTACACCTGTGTGACCATTATGGAAAGCAAGCCTTGAACCTCCTTTGTCTTTGAAGCAGGCTATCTCTCCAAAGAGCATCCAGGACCATGCAGAAGGCAAGAGAAGGAAATTTCAGGGCTAGATGGTTCCTTGGAATGGTATAGAAGGCGCCACACTTGAAGACCCAGGAACTAAGGTAGAGGAACAAATTCTGAACTCTGAAGGGCTAGGGAGAAAAGGCTATGTTTTCCTTGACCTCTCTGGGCTTGCTGGTCTCCATGGAGTCAGTCCCAGTCAGTCTCTGACTGGTATTTGGGGTAATTCTAAAGACCTGACACAGGGCTGGCCTTCAAGAAGCACAGAGCTGGTCTGGTGCTTAGGAGTCGTGTTATAGATATTTTTTTAACCCCTCTGGACCTCAATTTCCTTATCTGAAAAATGGAGAAAAACACACTGCATGG